ATGTATTACAAGGTATGAGAGGGCAGCCTGGGATGTATTACAAGGTATGAGAGGGCAGCCCGGTATGTATTACAAGGTATGAGAGGGCACACGTGGGATAGGTTCAAAATGGACCTCCTAGTCTTAGGCGTAATGTTTTCCCATTTCAGACCACATGTCAGTCTCTTGAGAATTAGATTCTATGTATTATTTATATCTATAATCGTGCTCCTTCTCATGCGCATCCCGCGCTAGATAAAGAATTTATACTCCAGGGAATGACACGTTGTCTGAAATGGGTAAACATTACGCCCAAGCCGAGGAGGTCTATAGAGAGATCAGGCGTCGATCGGTAATCTTTGAACCGAAGTCCGCAAAATTAACCTTCCTTCACTTCTGTTTCCTGATAAAGATTTTCATTTTGTGTCAGAAACACCACAATAATCCCGTAGACGTGTATGCTAAAAAGATGTTCACCTTGTTACCCAAGACGCCTCTCTTGACGAGACGAAAGAAGAAGAAGAAGCTGACCCACACAGAAGAACTGGAACAACATTCTTTCTCTGTCAAGTATGTAAACGTGTTAAATACTGCCATGGTACAAACCAAACATGCATTGATTACCATAAAGATGCAACAACGTTTGCTGTTGAACCGTTATTTTTGTGTGAGTGGGAAGTATGCGGTCAATCAATCAATCAATCAACTTGATTTAAAAAGGGTGACGTATTAACCCAGTGAGTTATCTAACATACGGCCTTCACGGTACTGACATACATTACGTACTCGGTACCACATGCCGTAACGACACAATAGCTTCCTTCTGTTAGTTTCATGCAAATCGTTCAATCAATCGATGGTTACTGTAACAGTAAGATAAAGTATGGCTGGTGTGTGGCTTATATATATGTAGTATCGTTTTCCACTCACACGAAGCGATTGTCATTTAAACGCATTTAAACGAAATCTCAAAGGTCCAATGCAGTTTGGGTGCAGTAACAGTTGCGGTAATTTATCGTATTTTTTTTTTCTTGCAGACAACCATTTTCCAACAAAGGGCACATTGTTCACCGGGGCCGAGAGAAGATGCAGTATGTAGGCCGTCAACTGATGGCCGAGCTTGGCCTCTCCCAATGGAGGTCCCGTGAGTTTTGGGCCATGATGCTGATGATCGCGTTCACTTGGTTTTTACGGCTGTACGCGCATTATGGAGGACAATGGTTGTACCTGACTGCTCTGATTATACCAATAAACAAGTAAGCACTTCGATTTTTTGGATACTATATTTGCGCAATTATGAGTTCTCGACGCGCGTAGAAGATTTCGTCTGACGTGAAAAACTAACTATGCGTACGTGCTGTGCCGTGACCGTGTCGGTTCGCGACCGAGCATTTTCATTGGATGACGGAGTAGTTTTTTCGCGCACTGTGATTGGTTCGGAAGATTTCTTAAGTTCCATGACGGGTGTCGTGCTTTTTTCAGAAAATTTCTTAATGGAACCCTTAGTCGGGGATCTAAAAAATGTTGCCAGTAATTGGTAAATTGGGTACTCGTTTTCTTCCGTATCCTAGCTGAAGTCCGCCGTGTTTATATTCCGTTTTACAAATAGTCTAGAATAGAAAGATTTTACTGAACTTGCCGATAGGTGGAATGAGAGAGGAGTTATAGATCAACCCCTCATGGTTTGTGGTACTTGGCCAGTTTAAAAGTATTGGTTTTAAACCACTTTTATTTATCATGTTGCGAACATTCCATTTTTGGCTGGGAAACGTTGTACTTCACGAGAGAAACTTCAAGAGAAATTTCAATTTTTTAAAAAGAAAAGTTTCTCTCGTGAATTACAAAAAGAGTTACAGATGGACAAATGATTGAAAAACATTTCGAGTTTTAGACCACAAGTTTATTTTTAATAAATTAGATAGTGAAAATAAGCAAAGAATTTTAATTTTGGTCGTAAAAATAAGTTTGGTTTTTATCACAAACAATATGAAAAATGAATAACTGATTTTTTTTTTTGAGAAGTGGGCAATTTTTTGTTAGTTGTTTTCTCCAGAAATAAAACGGAGATTGTCACAGGCAAAGATTGATTCAGGCAAAGATTTCAAAAACATAAAACATATGTTATTTCTTGAAAAGGTGTTCCTGGACGGATGTTTTCAGTATTTCTTGAAAGAAGTGTGTATTAATAGGTCTAGTAAACATAAATCTCTATAGACTGAAGTTATGCATAATACATAGAGAGGAGCCAAAATACACATCTAAACACAGACAAAACCACTATAGTAAATCAGGCTCTCATGGAGCCCAAAAGTATTCTGGGCGAGCCATCATGACGTAGCTTGTTGCTACGGTAACGGTGACCGTGGTGACGGCGGCGGCACCAAGCAGCACTTGAGATGGGGTATACCATGCGCAATCTTCGTCTGGAAAAGAAATTAGTATGTACTGACTATCATTTTCACGTGATCATCTTGTGCAGCAGGAAAAGTTTCACGTGCAAATCACGTGTGTATGCACATCGCATGTTGGTATCACGTTTTGATCACGTGCATCCAAAACTATCCAAAGCCAGTACAACAACAGTAACTTGACTTACCAACAACTCCCATGTCACGTCCAAAGCTTTCCTCCTCGTAAATTTGCTGTATTTCGAAATGACCGCCATCGCTAGCGGCGTCATTACTAGCCTCGCTTGCTTTCAAAGGACATTCATCCATTGATAGTTCGTCTGCTAAGCAAACAGACATGTTCTTGACCACGGCAGAGGCGTTGTATTCTGGAAATCTTGGACACTTAGGCTGTGAACGAGTCTGTCGTAGGTCCAAATGAACGCCATCGCTAGTAGCGTCTTTACTAGCCTCGCTTGCATTCAAAGGACATTCACCCGTTGATAGTTCGTCTGCTAAGCAAACAGACATGTTCTTGACCACGACAAAGGCGTTGTATTCTGGAAATCTTGGACACTTAGGCTGTGAACGACCCTTAACACGACGCTCAGCTATGTCAACCCTTGTGGTGGCTTTAGCTTTGTCATCGTTAAGAGATGGTTGTTGTAAATCGTCATTCACTTTCTGTTCTCCCTTGAGATCAGCCTCATCTTGGCTGAATATTGGTTCTCTTGTCTCTGTTGGATTTCCCTCTGGGCTAAATCTACACACAAGCTCTTCAGAGGAGATGTTGTGACTGGATTCATCCTGGAAGCGAGAGGCAACAGGCTGAGAAATGGCAGTACCTTCTGTACGCTTTTTCCCAGTCATCTCATGTCTGTCCTCAGGAAGAATCGCTTCCATTGCAGGCCGCATCTCTGTTGCACCCAGTCTTGTCATCTCGGCTGTCTGTTCGTCTTTAACATGGTCTTCCAGAGAAACGGCAGTAGCTTCTGTGATGTTCTCCATCAGTGCTTCTGTCGCACTCTGGATGTTCACCGTGCGCTCTTGAAATAAAAAGAAAATTTGATTCAGTTGATCGTATGTGATCATGTCAAAATCTTTGTTCAGTTTAAAAGTCACACTCAATAAAAACACTCTCAAAGGTTTTCATTGGCACAGTGTTCTTGTTTATTGGAATTTGTAGTCAATAACTTACCAGGGACGGCATCCAAGTCTATCTGCTTCAAGACCTTCTTTCCAAGCCACGTGCGGGCTTTGAAGTTGAACCAAGGCTCACGTCTTGTGACTGGTTTAGCTTCTGTAGATCATGAATACAATACTGAGTGAGGTAATATTCATGGATAAGCAATGCTATACCTTTGAAATGGCTCACGCAGTTGAGCTCATGCTTAAATAGCTATAAGAGATGTTGACAGGGGGATCTTCTGGCGGTGCAGTTCGGCCTTAAAACTTCTCAAAATGCGGGAGTGACTTTCCCCCCTTCTTCAAGCCAGCAGCATAAATGGTCTGCTTTTGTTGGTAGATTAAAAATCTCTCGTTTAAAGGCCAATCGATTCACTTGATCATGAGACAAAGAGGAGAAGATTGCTATAAACTTGGCTTACCGTCGCTAACCGCGAAGATTCTCTGATCAAATTCAAACGAGAGTGGCTTACCAACCCATCGACCCCTCAAGATGAACCACTGGCTACCTTTAGTGTCTGTCTTGGGATCTGTTAGGAACAACACGATATTTATTACCACATTAGCACTACCAGTGTGCAAGATTCGTCAGAGATCAAATTCTCTTTTAATTTAGATTACTGATTAATTGGGGAGTGCTTAGTGGAGACCCCAGCGGTGCTGCTCTTGTTATGTTCAAAGTTTGGATGGCCCAAGTTTCCGCACTAAATGGCGCCGCCGACTCAAGTAGAATCTCAATGTCTCAGGGGTTGCGCAACTGTTAAGTGTTCCTATTAGACGATGATATATTTATATTTTGTTGAACGAAAAACCACAAAAATGGCGCCGCCGCCTCAAGGAATATCTAAGTGTCTCAGGAGTTGCGCAACTTTTAAATATCACTATAGTCGTCGAATTCGTTTATATTTTGTTTAAAAAAGTGTCAGAAAAATGGCGGCGCCGTCTCGAGGAGCATTATAGTGTCTCACTATAGTCATCAAATTCTTTTGTATTTTGTCTTTACTTAGACTTTAATATGGCTCCATTATTGCATTTTGTGTCATCTTGTCTTACCCATCCTCCAGTCTGAGGTGATTTTCTTGGTAGAGTGAAGTCGAACCATCTCCATAGATAACTTGTTATCCTTGATAGTGAACCTCGCCTTGAATGCAACCCACTTGTTCTCCATGTCAGCAAGATCCTTTGCATCTTTAAACACGAACAGACAGAGATTAGTTTTATATATCAACTCTATTAACTAGTAAGATTAAGGCTAGCTTCATTTGGTACACTGCGTTTTTGGTTTGTAGTTTTTGTTATTTTCAAAAAAATATTTTTCTTGAATAACAATTTCTAAATTTCTTGAGTTTAAGATATTCTTGGATAAGATTTCATTACAATCTTACATGTCAGTGTCTTTTTTCTTTTTATTTGTTTGTTTAGTGTTGAAGTCAGGCACTCTAGCTACTGTCACATATATATATAGTTAGATAGTTTCATAGCTTATGGAATGTTTTTTTTTATCATATTGTGGCTATAATAAAGGATATCATCAATAAAATCACTATTCACTAGATGTTCTAGTTTTTTATGCTTCATTCATACCCAGTAACTCATCGTCTCTAATCCTGAAATTCTGTTCATCGACTGGTAAATCACATCTCTTAGAGATTTCATTCACTGTATAAACATAAAATATATAGGATAAGATAAATATATAGGTATATTAGCCATAGTTAGAATATTTGATCCTTTCTACAAAAAGAAATCTATATTAAAAAATATAAGAAATAATAACTACCTCAACTTTAKTTTTTCGACAAAAAGATTGCGCAAATTTAAGCATTTTTCATCAAAGTAAAAATTTTCTCTAAAAAGTTTAAAAATAAATGGTTGACGTACAAAATGTTTCACATCGAACACGCGCGTCGATAGTTACGTCATCAAAGTCTTTCGCGCGGGAAAAAACATTGACAAAACTTACCAGTCATCGCGCATTCCCTTTGGTTGATTGTCCCTACGATATAAATAGAAACAGTCAAAGCAACTAAAGCGAATAAAAAATCATATTTATCCAAACCACCCGGCATCTTGATAAGACGTCTGTAGACCACGCAAGTCTACGGACAATGATTGCCGTTAATTCACTAGCTCAGTTAATAAAGGTTTAATTGGACTACGTCATAATGCAATTAGAATACTGACCGCGGGGAATTCTGGGTAGAGAACATTACGTCAATATCCAATTAGAACGCTGACCCCGGTGAATTCTGGATATAGAACCTTACGTCAATATCCCATAATCATTTTCATGAAGAAAATATTGAGGGAACTGATCTATTTAAGCGTATTAAAAAGGTTTTAAGGAACATTATGGCGACACGAGTGAAAAACATCTGCGCATGCTCTGAATCCCTATGCAAATTAGTCAAAACATGAGTAAATTTGACTTTCAAACATGCCTGATAAATTGGACTTCACAAAACGACAAGACTTAGTGTCCATGCTTGAAACTTAAGGCCAATTCTTTCACGTTGTGTTATTTGATACAGTATCTTGATCTGACAAAAGTATACTCTCGAAATTTTTTGTATACTTGGAGAAAACAAACATCTATTTTCTCACTCAAACTCTTCAAAATTCTTAGGAAACGTGCTGAAATGCACGCATGCGCAAACGTTTTTCTCTATTGTCCATTATGGCTATTTATTGTTAAAAACTTGCGTTCTAAGTATCGACCTAGTTAGGCCCTCTGTACTTTATGAGGAACACAAACTTTACCACAACCTTGAAAGCGCTAAAAGCGCGACCACAGGAAGCCCAAGTGAGATTTTTCCGGCAACTTTTCTTGACACTTTACTAAATAATATTTCCAATTCTTGACCGCAGATTCGAGTTCCTGCCATACACAGTCAACCTGAACTACCAAACTACATTACTACACACAGAAGAAGAGATCGCGCTGGTTATTCTCGGTCCGTTCACCAATATCTTGATATTCTGTTTGTTGGTGATCGCTGCCTGGGCTATCCAGCGATTGTTTGGTATCTTCCCCAACATCTTCTCTCGCTTCATCATGGCGCTAGGAATCAATATCCTGTTGGATCCCTTGTGGATTATCATTGTTGATTCCGCTCTGCTGAGGTAACAATTAATTAACTATATTACATAGAGCAGTTTTTGTATGAGTGGGACTCAACCACACGGCAAATTTATAGCCGTGATTTAGCCGCTTACCACAGCCACAATACTACGCGTTGATGTTGCACTCATGAATTACTGGGAAGCCATTTTAGTGTTATGGCGTGTCATACCATGGAGGTGCATGCCGTAAGTCAGAATCGTATGTTTCCTACTGATACGAAAACTGTTGTATGATTAGATGTTTGCGCCCTGCTAATGCGCCATCTCTCACAGCTATGGCTATGGGTTGGATCCCTGGAGCAGCCATACGTGAGTAGAGTTGCTTGTTGGTTCTCTCATGTGCTCCCTCCGCAAAACCAAACAAGTTCAATTAAACACATCAACCTATTTTTACAATCATCACTCCCCGTAAGAGGCTCTTGCGTGAGCTTCTAATTCGATTTTGCGTCGAGCGTTTTACCCACGAGTCTCTGACTTGGAAGACGAGCAATCTCTCCCTGTCTGGTCAACGTAAAATTATATATTACATTTACATTTGCCTCATTGTCACGCATTAACTCATTTAAATAAAGTTCTTGTGGGTTTGTGGGGGAGGGTTGAGGGGGAGRAATTTCGCACCAAATTGTGCGCGCTCGGCCACCCCTTCATTCCAAACACTGGGACCCTTTTTATGCCAGTGGTTTTTTAACTCTTATTTGCCGGTCTTCGCGTCCCCTGATTATATTTTCACCTTTCACTTCTATCTAAATTGGGCTCCCTGTGCTTTTAGGTATCGTAATGTCGGTGGAGACCTACCAATAGGAGACGCATTCAAACTCTACTGGCATTTTGATCGTTACGAGAAGAACGGCGCAGTGGGAATAGTCTTGACGATCTTCCTGTACATCGTGACCCTCTTCGCTTCCTCCACCATCCTCTACATGTATTTCCTTCGTCTCCATAACAACGGTCGTCTGATGGACGTCTATCATCGTCTGCATGCATCAGAAGACGACTTCTTTATTCCTTATGACTTGGAGATCTCTAACGAGGAGCTGAACTTCATCTGCAAGAAATCAGAGCAGTGGAGAGGAGAAGAAGGCGAGAGGAGGAAGACAGCGGTTTATGATTATATTTGGGAAGAAGAACAGGTATTGTAATCTTAGAGGGGAGGGGTGGGGTTACCTGGTACCCACGATAGCATCATCTTAGAGGGAAGGGGTGGGGGGACACCCAGTATCGAGTATTTCAAGCAGTTCTCGGAGGGGACGGGGGGTATTTAACGGTAACCACCAAACCAAAAATGGGATGGATAATCATTAGTCATTTTTCCCATGTAAACATTGATTCAGAATGGAATAAGGAAGGAAGATTGGCTGCTTTCTCGCTCTCAGTCCTTTTCGGTTAATGTTGATCCAGGTACCCAACGTTAAGAAAAGAGAAAAGGAAAGACATCAGCGGCTAAAGTTATTGATCTAAAGGTCCGTTAAATCCTTGTGTCTAGGTTGACGAGGCTGAGATAAACGAAGGGCACAACCAGGCAGGTCGCCGTGAGATCACCACACACGTGTCAGTACACACCCTTCATCTCGATGGACTGAGAGAACTGTACAGACACTTCTTGCGTCTACCAGACGGCGCCATCGTTGAGGTACGTCAATCTACTTAATCTCTATTTCATGGGTGACATGTGTAGTGCTGTCTTTCACCATGTGTAGTTCAAGCCTGCGGTCGTGCGTTCGAGTCTCGACTGAACCGCATATGTGATTTGAGTTTTCTGGTTTGATGTGTTATTCTCTTCCTTGCCAAGAGAATTTTTCCGGGTTGCAAATAAAAATTGTTTCCAAGTTCAGAAAAAGGTTTTCCTATGTCACGCGGGGTCTCAGATATCGTCGAGGAYAAGATGCCCCTGGTTTATCACAGTAGAACGTCAAACTAATTAAGACTGTGATGCGCAAACAACCATATAAGATTGCTGGGCCTCTTGCGGGTACCTGGGAGAGAACCCTGGTGTACCCACGAGAAAGGAAGAAAATTTCGTGCAGGAAAAGTATCATTACACTATTTCGTTGATTTTCTGTTTTATCAGGTATTCAATGAAATCAACCTTGCCGGCATGGATGAAGGTATCAAACAGGCTCTCATCAAAGGAACCACCTATCAAGCAATGGACAATACCACTGCTTCCAAGACCAGCCTACGATCACGTGGTCGGTCATCCTCCGTGGTCAGCGGTACGTCATTCCGAAGACCTTCAGTGCTGTTGGAAGTACCCAAGGCCGCGCGGTCATCTTCACCCGTCTAGACCTGAAAACCACCATTTTTTGCATGTGGAAAGTAAGCCTGATTTGCCCTTTTAATATGAGTACGGTGTGTCTTAGTTTTCGAAGGGGTTTGATAGCCTTATGTGCCTTCTGGTGCGTAGCGGCTTATTCACTACTCTTAATTATACCATAATTATTTCTAGAACTTGTCGGCTTAGCCTCGAATCCAGGAGTTGCTTGTTTTGTTATTCTAATTTCTGCTTTTGTTTTCTACTTCAAAAATGAGGCTAAGCTTGCACATTCTAGAAAATAATGGTATTTTTAGGAGTAGTGAATAAAGTTTAAAAGTGTATTGATTGACTTTCACAGTGATACGAAAAGTGCTCTAATTATGTTGGTGTTTCAAGTGTGAATCAGGCCCCAATGTATATATTTTTTATATAGTTTATTTTTACACTCGGTGATGTCCAAAGACAGCCTCAGGTGCGGATCTAGGGGAGGGGTGCAGGGGGTGTGCACCCCTCCCTGGTTCGACTTTGTGCCCCTATTTCGAAGATAACTAATACTGTTTTTTGGCAGCAATAGTAGTACAAGAGGGGGATGGGTGCGGATAAGCAGCTACACATCCCGAGGGGTAATAGACACAAGACAAAATATTTAAACGGCGATCATTCGCTCCCATTTTTTCACRTCATTTCATTTCCATTTTAAAATTGAGGCTATGGGGATATAAGAGGGGTATTTAGGCGATTAATCCCTCCGAGCCTCGACATGAAGGTTCTTATTCTTCACTGTCACTAGTAGCAACCATTCCTGTGACTATGGCAACGCACATAATTGCGTTCTGCTCACACGATTAGTAGATATTTTTCTATTTTTGTATAAGTATTTATTTTTGTGCTTCGTATTTCAAAACATTTAAAATAAAACCATCAATGAACACCAAGTGTGGCTTTTCATACATTTAGTTCAAAAACATAAAGCATTGCCATAAACATCAGCGTTCTAATCGATGTCCTAAAGGGTTTTACACTGTTTTGTCAAGCTATTGCTGTAGGTAACACTCAAATGGCATCCATCAGCATTAGTGCGCGCCTTCTTCCATTTTGATTGGTTCAGTCGACTTATGACATGGTAAATATTTTCTTATGGATACAAATTTATCGTCGTATTTGCAATACAAAGGTTTTCTCTTGAGGTCCCATTTTCCATGCGCGCGCTCATCAGTGATGTCATAATGGATTGAATCTGGACTGTCGACATATTAAAGAATTGTTTGCGAAACTCAAGAATTTCCTTTTTCTACGAATCAAGGATGGCATCAGGGGTAAAAAAGAACTTCGTGGAATTTAAAAACAAACTGTCCAAAACACTTCGTGTACGCAAAAGCGCTAACAAGTATAAAGTTACAAAAGAAAAGACAGATGTCACCTCGGCCGTCAAAATGAACGGATCTGCGAATATGACCAAGGAAGAAGAAACGAGCGGAGAATGGACAGAAGATCTTTGTATTTTACAGCTAGTAAAGCTAGAGGAGGTGAGCCCTGATTGGCTGACGAACGAGGAATGGGGTAATGAACAACTTGATACTGAGGCCGAGAAGGAAGGACTGTTAGGTTTTTTAAAAAGTTAAACGTAAAAATTGTTATCAGCAATCGGACTCTATGATAACATTTTAAGCTCTGATCACTTTCGTTTTTGTTTTGGTCAAATTAAACGATTTCAGTGGGGCAAACGTTTTTCAATCTTCTTTTGATTATTTTTTTCCGTCATGAATTTCCTTTTTGACATCGAATCTCAAATGTAATCAAAGCAAAGAGAGCCATTGTTTTTCGATTTAGGACGTAGAAAACTAAAAGATAGGCCCGCGGCCGCGCGCATTTTGTCAACTTAGAATTCAATCTCGTACCCAGAGCCTGCGTTTCTTCTGGCCTGCAGCGAAGAACCGAGGGCTCTGGCATAATCCATTTTTTGAGACCAGGATTTCTTGTACTTCCGGTTCAAGAGCGCATGCGTTCAAAGACTTGCCAAAAATTAAAAATATTTTCCCGATTTCTAATTTTTCCTATGATCTTTACTTTGATTTTTGCTTTGATTTAATTTTTAATTTGATTATTTTGATTGGTTATATCTTTTTTCGAAAATTGCGCATGCGCCAAAAAATGTATTATGCCAGAGCCCTCGTTATTTGCTGCAGGCCAGAAGAAACGTGGGCTCTGGGTGCAAGATTGCTTAGAATTACGCATTCTCAAATCTAGATTTGGATTCTATCCCACATGGCTTTAGTCTCCCCCACAGCTGCTTTCAGTGTCGTCACGCAACGCTTCTGAAAGCAGCTGTGGGGGAGACTAACATGACTTAGAAACTAAAGCACCATATGAGATGTCTTTGATGCATGCTTTTGCATGTTGCGACAAGAGAACATAGGTAAAGTGCTTTCTGGTGATTATCCTTTTGGCCACCTTTTTGAAAGAAGACCTGATGAAGTCATTATTTTTAAACAACGGAATCAAAGAGAAGGTATGTTTATTAAAATATAATGAGGTACAACTCAACAAAACTCGAAGACCATCCCATTAAACTTAGTCCTTCATTGAAGTCTACACAATATTTCAATACTTGTGTTTTGATAATTTCAGTATTTATCACATATTTACAGTTTTTGTTTCACGTTAATATTATAACACAGTTATCTTCGTGTATCGTAAAGTTGCATTTTAGCTTCTTATAAAACTTCTTTACATTGGTGTTTCCACAAAGAAGTATGGGATTTGACATTACATGATTACTTTACTTCATAAATCACACTAATTGGCATGGTATGATTGGTATAAGAAGGGAGGCTGTTCTTTAGCAGTCCTAAAGGGCAGCCATGGTACTTTTCCTGTCGTAAGGAGCTCTTCAGGATCCAGATTATCAAGGTGTTGTACTTGTCTACGTACATATTTGACTAGGTTTGCCAACTGCGAGGCATCTGTCTGTCTTTTGTCATAAAACATGTTCCTACAACAAGAAGAAAAACAACCAAAAACCTGAGAAACCACTGGCAAACAATGCTGGGGCCTTAACCACAGGAAATTATTACTTTTGTTTTGGTTCCCTTAATCTCTAGGTATGGTGGAAACTTTCTTTATAATCTGATTGACTCTTATATCATATAGCAGTTGACTACTAACCTCCATAAAGCTGCGGCCAACACTCTGTCATGTGACAATAAACCCTAAATATACAAAAAAAGTTAATCGATATTGATAACAATGTGCATTCTGGGATAGCTTGGGTATCAATATTACAAACCCCATGTCTCTTCATTGAACTTTTTGGGGATGGTCTACATGTTGGATTCTGGGATAGCTTGGGTATCAATATTATTAACCCCAAGCTGTCTCTTCAATGACCTTTTCTGGGGTAGTAAATAGTGGATTCTGGGATAGCCTGGGTAATAATGTCAGAAACCCCTTATTGACTAGGGACTAGAAGACCATACCTCATCATATGCAAATATCAGGCCATAGAATTCCTGAACAAGTTCTCTGAGGCTCTCTCTTGCAGTTGTTGAATCTATCTCCTAATTAAAACCAATACAAAAGTAAATATATCAATGTTAGGATCGAGGAAAGAAATTATCTTCTGCACACATAACAATATTGCAAGCATTCATTCCAGGGATTGTGCTAAGATTTGCTCAAATTGATTGTAATGTCAGTAGTGTAACAATACAATCTTACAGGGAAGACAGGATACTTTTTAATGGAGTAGGGCTAAGAAGGACTTTTCAAAAGGAATGGGGGATAATCTCTGTTTTTTTTAAAATTCTTTTAACAGAAATCAAACTAATACAAAAGTATACCTTATTTTCCTAAATAACAATAATAATAAATGATATTCTGGTAGCCTCCCAGCTCTGTCAACCCTGTTTTACCCTGGATATCTTGAAGCCCCATTATTTTGCACCTTTTAGCCATTCCTTTACAAGGTTTGAGATAACCAGACTTCATTGTATTCAAAAAACCCTTATCAACACAAGTAAAATGATTCCCTAGATGCATTAAAATTATCAAAAAAATATTTTTTCATCCTAGAAACACAGGATTTTTATGTTCAAATGATCACTGTAAGCACAAGATGATGGTTGACTTACCCCAATTTTCTTCATCCTTGCCTCTACATCTTGCCACATTATCTCAACCAGCTTTCGGTACATGAACTGCCCATCTTTCCCCTCTGCCTTCAGCCTCACCAAACACATCCTAAAACAGTTTTTCATTGGCATTGTTATTGACTAATCTAGGTAATTTAGGAGTTATTTTCTATATCGACAAGATGGAGGATAGTAAGCAAGATAATCCCAAAAATCTTTAGAAATTATTAATTTGTTTGCAAGGTAGTAATGTGTATGTCATGGTAAATGGTAATGTTGGTGGAATTCTCATAAGTGGCAGGAACATAGCAAGGTCTCTGTTAAAATGGGGGGGGGGGGGGGAATGTACAGTACAATTTTCTCACCAATACACATGTGTAAGCATTTCATGTTAGAGCTTCCCTCCATATTCACAGGTTTAGTAAAATGTTTTGGAGAAGAGGTTACTTCTCTTTTGGGGAAGGAGTTGCTTCCCCTCTAGTTGCACCACTGTTTAGTTGTTAATACCATCAACATGGTCTGCTATGTCTTTGTCTTTAAACTCGCTGGAGAATGATCTTGATAAAGGAAGTTTTTAACTTACCAAATGTGGAGTTGATTGATCATGAACCAGGACTGGAAAGTATCAGGCATGCTACAGGCTAAAACAATCATGAAAAGCTATTCGTCAAAATATTTAATTCTTGATTAATTGTAGTAATAATTGAAATATTGTATACTATACAATTTAGAGGATGAGTATAAGAGAGATCAGTATACACTGAATTGAAATATGGCAACCAATTTGAATAAGTATTGTTCTATACTGACTATCCTCTTGTTCAAGTAAAATGCTTTTATGTTTTCACTTAAACAAGAGCCTATAGTCAGTGCAGAACAATACTTATTCAAATTGGTCACCATATTTTGATTCAATGTACAGGGGAGCTTTAGTGTATTTCAATACACTGAATCGAAATATGGTGACCAATTGGAATTGTTCTGCACTGACTAGCGACTGACTAGCCTCGTGATCACGTGCAAACATAAGAGCATTTTCACATGTATGAGAGGCTAGTCAGCCGCTAGTCAGTGCARAACAATAGTTATTCAAATTGGTCACCATATTTTGATTCGGTGTATACCTTCATAAAAATCATCATAATTGACTTCCTCTATACAAGATCTGTACATCGTCATGGCACTTCTCCACAACACCTATGGAGGATAGCATTGCAGTCAGTTAAGAAGTAAGTGGATTATCTATTCAATTATTAATTGCTAAAATACATGTTTGTTTGCTTGATTAATTGAGGGACTGATCAATACATTCATCCAGCCTGTCAATAAGTCATCAATTGAGACAATTGTTCATTGACTCAATCTGTCAGTTGGTCAGTCAGCCAAACAGTAAGTCACTTAGTAAGTCCAACAAAATGGTACCTGATCTCAGTACTTACAGAGCTTCTAGAATTAATGCCACTGAACCGGCCAACGAACTTTGCTATCTTGGTACCCAATGTTTCTGGTTCTGGGGCAGTAGCTGTCATTGTACCATCACCACCCCCCTGGGGATTCTAGAAAAACATCCATAGATATGTTAGTTTACCTACATGATCAGAATCTTACTCAGTCCCCGTCCACACTGTGCTGGATAAATTTGAATCCATAACTTTCACACCGAAACCGAAAAAAAGTTTTCCGTCCACACATGAAAACGGATAAAATGTTTCGCATCCACACTAGTCCGATCAGAGGCAGCAAAAACACTTCATTGCACATCTGAGCATGTGCATCAAAGCTGAAATTGAGCCCATTTTTAGCCTTCTTGCCATGTTTCCATGACAATCATGATGTCATCGTATTCGAAAAATTTCAGATACGAAATGTTCTCCATCCACACTAATACGGCTAGCCAATGTTTTCAAATAATATTGTTCCACTCTGGAGATAGTATTCGAAAAAAAAATGTTTTCGATGAAGAATTGTTCCTGATTCGCCCGGACTAGTGTGGACAGTAGGCCTAWCTGAATAACTAAAAATTCGGATTCAAATTTATCCAGCATAGTGTGGACAGGGCCTCAGTAAAATGAGCTGTGAGGTGGGCTGTTAATGTGAAGTGGACCCACCTAAAATAATGTAAATATAATAATGTAATAGAGGCTTTGCACCATCACATAATGGCAGAGTTTCCCAGGGGCAAAAGACTCTATTTTTGTGCCTCCTGTCATGGCTGCCATCACGTGATGGTGCAATGCCTCTAAAGCAAAACATACGTACACATACCTCTACTGAGGACAGATGTCTTGTGATTTGTTTGTATCTGGAAGTCTGTTGGAATGTTCTTGGGACTCTGTTTCTCTGTATTAATAATTGTCTTGATTGAATTGACTTTGCATGGTTGACCAAGGATGCATAATTTGCTCTAAAAGTTGCCTGAAAACAACAACAACAACAAAATTTAGTATATGAAGTTATTTGCCCCACTGTGTTTGAAGCTTTTCTTACTGCTCTTAAGAGAGCTAACTAAAGAAATCTGTACCTAAATTTTCTCTTTAAAGTCAGTGAATTTGTGTGGGAATCCGAGAGCGATGTCCGAACTTTTTGGTGACCGTAACACAATCCAAGCTAGCGCCGAAAAGGTGAATTAAAATATACGACCCCTACACGGCAGTGAAGGTCGCAAATTTTTTTTTAAAAACCTCACCTCCTTTCATAATTTCCCTTAAGATGGGGCCTTAAATTCAAGTAAACCTTGATCTTGATACGGTGAATATAAGCTTACGTAATAAGAAAATGATGGATAATTTACTTTAGTTATGTAATCCCAGTGTATAACGCACACCAATTATTCCGGCAATAATATTGAATATAAAGAGGCAAAAACATACAAACCTGTGACAACGATCTCCTCGTTGCAGCCACACCAACCAACTGCAACACTCCTGTAACTCGACAGCCACACAGACTGTTCATTATTAATAAATCTTTTCTCTTTTCCTTGAAGAAATTCCTATTTCCAGATCAGTGAATAAAATTCTGAAAATACTCTACAGATCGCGTAGAAACTAGAGCGTATATRCTGATTTTTTTCACTCCAGTGGATTCTATGATGTTTACGATACCTTGCTAGCTTATTACATTAAGTCTTTGATTTTTCTCTGTCTTCGAATTATAAATTTAGTTGGACACTACAGATCTTCATCTCACGCATGGTCGTCCGCCATTTTGTATTTCCAGAGAGAGAGAGACTGGAACGGCTCAATATTATGCTAATTTATTTAATGTATGCGCATATATTTGGATGATTATCATTCTTCATTCTCACACAGCAAAATATGGCGGAGTTAGGAGAAGAAGCTCCAGAAATACAGAGAAAAGTCATCCCAGTCAACGGTATTCCGACTGTTATTTCTACTCTACTACCAAGAGATACCTGCCCGAAGGTTTCTGTGGTTATCATCCCCGGTAACCCGGGATTAGTGGAGTATTATGACCTTTTCATACAAGGTTTATTTGAAGCAAGCAAGAAGACTTTGGCTATCTATGGGATTTCACATGCCGGTATGAAAAAATAATAGTTTAAAAAATGTCTTTTAGGTCATGATACATGAATTGTACTTCTATATTTTAAAAAAAATCCCTTAATAATTACTCCAATATATTCCATATATATTTTACCCTATAAAAATATTTTAGCTGTGTTGGTGTTTGGAGGGGGTGGGGGGGTCCTGTGTTTTACATAATTTGTGAGGAAAACTTAAAATAAAAACATTAAATTGTGAATAAAAAACAAATAAAAGCAAAAAGAATAGTAATTAAGCTTAAAAATATCATTAGTTCTTTGGTACTCATTTCACCAAAAGTTTTCATTTATTTATTTATATAGGTCATTTGAATTATTTCACTTCCCCTTTATTTAAAATTCCACTCCAGATTAAATTTACTAAGAAATAAGTTTTTCTTATTCTGTATTTGTTTTTACTTATTTTTTAATTTTTGTTTCTGTTTTTTGTTTTTCAAATATTTATAATGTTTTCATGGAGTCTTTCATGAGATAACTTTGAGCTGCATTCATGAATATGCATATGTATTTTAAGACCAAAAATCTCTAAAAGTTCTTGTTAATTATTGATCATAACGACAGATGTGAATTGTTCTGGTTTTCTTATGATGATATAAAGTATTTTCCTTCTTGTTTTAGAGATGTTATCTAAATTTTCCAAGCTCAATATTAGGTAAAAACTTCTTAAAATCATCATTAATTTTTTAATCATTTTACTTCAAAATTTTATCATAGACTGAAGCTGTTCACCACATTGTTCATTATCTTTTATCTTCATCACTCCAGCTGCTGGAGTTGGTATTTCTTTATCTTTTTGAGATATAGTTTGCATTTTGAAACATTCGTACAGAACGTTACTGTCAGATTATTTTGTACTGGTTTATTTTTTGGGAATTTTTGAGTTAGGCCCCATCCACACTAAGGCCGGATAAATTTGAATTTGAATTTTTATTTATTCGGTTTCATTTCGAAAATTCATTTTCGGTGAAGAATTGTTCCGGATTCGCCCAGACTAGTGTGGACGGTAGGCCTAACTGAATAAATAAAGATTCGGATTTAAATTTATCTGGCATAGTGTGGACAGGGCCTTAGATTTATTTATTTATAAGCAAACATAGTTATTATCAACTATCCAATGATTTATCAGTTTTATAAATCCCTTCAAGAAAATGTCCATATCTTCCCCAACAGAAGCTGATTTGAATTTCTAATTCTATTCTAAATTATCAATACCTCTCCCACCTAGGGGGATTAGGAATTTGAAGAGGTGGGGAGGGTCTATTCCCCCCTCCATAAAAAGTACCCTCTCTAATTAATTTCCTTCTAGCGATTTCAAATTAAATGGGTATATTTTCAACAAACATTGATGATTATCTCAAGAATAGCATTTGTGTCAATATTCCTTATGAATGAGGTGGATGAATGTGATCCAATTGAAGATGTTAAATCACCGAACCCTTTAGATTTGCGCAAGGGATAGGATGTAATCAGAGAGTGTTGATACTGGTTGCCCTGTTACGATTAGCATGGCATAGATCTCTGGCATTCTGGGCTGGACGACTCACAAACATCTTACTGGGGAACATACTTTTAACGTAATATATCAAACACGGCAAAGAGTGTTTGATCCGAGTATCTAAACACCAAGAAGGGGTTGGAAAATTGAGGTGCCCAAGTTCTTTTAACTGACTTCCAGGCGTTTGGACAGAAGATCAAACACTCTTTCAAGTGTTTGATATAGCTTCTCAAATATGGATATTTTCTGGAACTACACATTGCTTATTAATTGCAATTTATTCATAGTTATATTATTTTTCATTTTTCAGGCCATTCACCAATATTAGCAGAATACACAAAATGCCACGAAGAAGAAGCAGAAATAGAAGAAGAAGAAAAGGACCCTGTAGATCATTCACAGTCTTGTGCCATTACTACTGGAACCTACTCACTTAGAGAACAAATTGTCCACAAGAGAGTTTTTCTAGAACAGCACATCCCAAAAAATACAAAAATAATTCTGATTGGTCACTCCATAGGCGCCTACATTATCCTCRATCTCTTAAGAGAATGTGAAAGAGAAAAAGATATCATCAAATCTATTTTATTATTTCCGACGATTGAAAGAATGGCAGCATCACCTAATGGACGGTATGTTACTCCTCTGGTCAATTATTTCAAATGGTTTGCTGTGTCGACAGTTTCTCTTGTCTCATATTTCCCACAATCCTTTGTGAAGTTCTTGGTTCAGTGGTGGTTTAATGGGCGTAATGTTCAAGATGGGGTCGTGGATACCACCATACGATTAATTAACTCTGAAGCAAGTAGTAATTCGCTAGAGATGGCACGTTGTGAAATGGCTGAAGTCACAGATCTTGATGAAGAGGTAAGTAGTTGGGATTCCTGTGGTAGCCATATTTGGAAACATATGGCATTTGAGTTGAGTGCTGTAAACAGTGATTATAATGATAGTGTGTGTGTTGCAAACTTCATGGAAGCTTGATGAAATATTGAAATAGTTGTTTATTTTGTGATGCAGGTCATATCCAAACATTTGAATCAACTCATATTTTACTATGGAGCAACAGATCAATGGGCTCCTGTCTCGTATTATGAAGACTTGAAGAAGAAATTCCCTGAGGGTGAAATCTACCTGTGCGATAAGGGTATTGAGCATGCGTTTGTACTAACGTCATCTGGAGTAGTAGCTGAAATGGTGTGGGGATGGATTGACAAACTGTCAATCTAATTATGTGGTAATTGCAAAAAAAACAAGATGACCCACAAAATTATCATAGGTAGGTTATTTGTGTGTATCGGTGCTAGTGTGACATAGTGTGATTAAGGTCTTATCGTTTTTTTTTAATTAAAGACTTCTTGCAGATTACATCATATAAGTGGGGAAAAGAATATTGTTTACCGCAACTATGAAAACCCAACATCCATTGTTATAAAAAAATGTAATTATACATATCGAAAAATAGTCCTCAAATGAGTATTCAGCAAAAAATCATATTTCAGTGTGGTAGAATTGGCACAATGCAGTGTTATTCATAGTCAAAATTTCACTTAACAATCAATTTGTCATATAAATCATATTTGAATCAGAGTAAAACTATATTGATATTAGAAGACTGGATTATTATTCATGATTAATAAGATTATCAATTTATGACCATCATAATGTCAATACTTAGATCTTATTAACCGAGCGGGAGGTCTGTACGGGATAATCTTGACTGAGGTCAAGATTATCCCGTACAGACCGACCAAGCTCAGTTGATAAGAGTTTTATTATATGACCACTTTTCATTGAAAAGGACAAAATGTTTTCGCCGTAAGATTAATATGCGATCGGACCGGTTAATGCCGGAGAATCTAGTCCAGTCCGCGATGCGATCTATCCAATCAGATTGCTCGATTTGCTAGTGTCCAGGCTCTAAGATTCACGTTCATATAATAAACTAATCTAAACAATGTAATATATTTGTAAATATGGCCTTCCTGTTGCTTTCCTGTTTGATTTTATTTAATTAATAGAGAAAAGTGTTTTTTTTTAATTCTTATTAATTTTATGGGTGACATCTATCTCAACATTAGTTTATTATTTTCAATGGGATTTTATTATATTACTTTTATTTCTATTTCATATCTATACATTTATACTTATACTATTACTTATAATTATTATGAATGACAATTATGAGTATAATTGTGTATATTGCTCTACTATTCCTTTTGCTGAAACATTCTGTACAAAATTATATTATATTATATTATTCACCAATCTTTTATGGAAATTTTTAAAATATATTTATTGATTCTGATGGAAAAAAAACAAACAATGATTGTTATTTATGAGTGGATAAAATTCAAAATAAGTGACATTTATAAGGACTAACTCCTGGTTTCCTGGATCCCAAATGAGTTTTAGAAGCATTGATTTTGCATTGTAAAAAAACGTGCTTCAAGAAAAATATTTCTATTTCCTAATTATCGACTTGTGAAACTGAATTCAGAGCTGTGCTGCACGATGATTATGAAATGATGATAAAGCACTAGTAGAACAATAATGAATAAAATGAGGAGAACTCAGCTGACTAGTTTTGCTTTTCTTCATCCATCCATCCATCCATCCATCCATCCAGCCATCCCATCCCATCCCATCCCATCCATCCATCCATCCATCCATTCTTTCTTCTCTTTTTTTAGCGTACGCACAAGCTTAGTTCTTTCACATCCACGTGTCTCATGCGTGCATAGAAAATGTGACGACATCAGGCTGCGTTAATCGCGTTCTTTCTTCATTTCATGTTGCTTTGGATCAGGCGTGATCAATTTTAATGGTCGGGATGGCGGCGCGTTTTACGATGAGCCATGCTGAGAGTGACGCAGTCGCGTCCAGTTAGTGTATATAATCATGCGCAGAACCAGTAGTTTGCGTTGCTATTGCGCCTCGTCTCTTACTGCTGTCAATGCAATGTCGCTTAGATACTCGAATAACAATACTCCACACCCTTAGGAACCAGGAAGTCTAAAGATTTGAACTTTGCATGCTAAATTTTGAATCAAATATCGCATTCGACTCGGTCATCGCACATGACACTCTGCCGACCTCCGCACCAGTAAATTCCAATTATAAAGGAATCTGGATGAGAATTCTTATCTTCTCAATAGGATCGTCACGCAACGCTTCTCACGAACATTGCGTGACAACGTGACTATCCTAAGAACATCTGCGTAGGTCCTGCGTAGGAGCCAGACTAATATTTTCCAAACTTTTCTCTCATATGACAATATTTACTCGTAAACACTCAAAGTGCACTGAGGAATACTCTATCTAAATTTGTCTTGGTTGAAACGCACACACTATAATAATCCTAAGTGCAGCTGTTCGCACTCTACCGGTCAAAACCAAAAGTAAGAGCACTTTTAAGGAGGTTTTAAATTCACATGGAGCAGAAATAGCCGGTACTGGATGCACTGATGGAGTGGAGCTACAGATTGGAATAGATCTGATGCGAATTCTCTGTCTGGAGCGCAGTCTTGAAATATAAATTAATATAGTAACTCGATCTCTCGCTTGCATACTGCAGAGTTCTTCTGGTTTAATCTGTTATGGAAAAAAATCAATTACTATAAGGCCAATCCGATAAATTAGGATGACGATGGTGGTGGTGATATGATGCAGAATGGTGTTGTTGTTAGTGGTGATAATGATGATGCAGATGATGGTGATGATGATGGTGATGATGTAGGTGATGGTGATGACGATGATGATGATGATGCAGATGGTGATTGTGATGATGATTATGATAAAATAAAGATATCGATACCTCCCCAGCTCATTATATGAATACATCAATCAACACTTGCCAGTGATAAGCGTAACAATTTTATATCTTAGAAACAAATTTCCCAGAAACTGAACTTTACAGTTCATAAATGGACTGTATAACAAATTATTCATACATGGCTGCTAGAGGCACCTTCACATGCTTTCAGTTCGACATCGTTGAGCTGCGCCACTGCTGTACTTGCGGTGGTAATTAGAAAAGTTTTTTTTTTTTTTTACAACGATAATGTTTCCTTGACGCGAAGTAATCAGAACTCGTGTGCAACGACCTTGCGAAGCTTCATCGTATGACGGACATACGGCTTGCCTCGTAGGCTTTCACGACGCAAACTAAGAACGTTTCACGAAAAGTAAAACTACACCTGCACTGAAACATGTGGACAACTCAGCTAAAGATCACACCCTGTATCATCCCGTCTTGAAACTTGTCTGTTGGACCTCTTGACATCTTTTTATACTAGATTAAATTAAAAAGTTTTACATTGTGCTAAACACGAGCGGCCCTAAATGCTTTCGTTCACAATGTTTGTTCTTTCACACTTTCATTTTATTCGAATCCTGTTTTCTCGTTGTGTGTGGCTCGCGCTGAACTCTATCTCCGTCAAATCATTGCGTCGCCTTCGTTGCAGACTCTTACAGCCTAAAATCTTGGCGTATTCCGACCTGAATGTTTGATTAAGAAAGCCGTACAGTATAGGGTTTGTAGCAGCACTTGTTATGACCAGATAATCGTACGTTAAATGCGCCCAGCGCGGTATAAACACGCCAATCAAAAACAGTGTTCCTATGACACAGACAGGTGTCCAGAGCAAGAAAAACACTATCATGACTGCGAACACTACTTTAGTGATTTTCACTTCCTCGACTCGTGACTTGAGATTCTGAGTTTTCGCCCTCGATAAAGATGGAGCCACTTTGTTAACATGTTGCCTGACATGGCGAAATACCTTGAAGTAACAGACGAAGATGGTCAACATTGGGATAGATATGAAGGCAAAGTGTGCGGGGAGAAGGACGGCCATCTGTAGCTTCTTTGTAGGAAAAACAGGGATGCAAAATAGATGTGGTCCAAACTGATACTTAACTTCTAGTCCAGTAGGGATTCCAATTATTATCGCCATGCTTATTACCAACGTAGTACTTATGACTATAATAGTTGACTTACGAGTGAAGATTGTCTTGTATAGATTAGGTTTGACAACACAGAAATACCTGTTAATAGCAGTCATGGACACAATAAACATGGAGAACGTGCTCCATAGAAGAATGCTAGTTCCCTGTATRTGACAGGCTACCTGTCCGTATGGCCAATCCCCGGTGGTGGAGCTAGCAACACACAAAGAGAAGTCGAGGAGAGCAACACACAGGTCAGCAGTGGATAGTACGGTGATGTATTGATGGGTGATGGATCGCAGGGACTTGCTTCTCCATACTGCAGCAAGGACCATAACGTTTCCACCAATGGCAACGATTTCGAGCAACACGAACAAAAACGTTTCGAAAACGATTTGCACTTCTGTTCGGTGGCTTGTTCTTTCTCTCCAGTTTCTCAGGTCTTCGAGATTTGTTTGGTCCATTGTGCTTTTTTACTACTTCTAGTGCGTGTTTTCTTCTTAAACTTTGTTACATACGCGTCCGAGAAAGTTACCAATCTTAGCTCGAGTTTTCCCTTAGCATTCCTCGATACTTTCTAATATTGAGTATTCCTTTCTAGTTAACCGATGCTTAGGAAGAATGGTTTCGTATTCAAAGTTTCTTTTTGAACTCGTTAATAAATACCATACAGTCTAATTTCCATTTCAAATCCCACGATAATATATTGTCCAATACTCTGCTTGCTTTAGAGTAGGGAGTAAGGAAGTCTCTGCCAAGCAGAGTAATTTGATTGTCCAAGGATTTTTTCTTGATTAAGCAAAGAGCCGGTATTCCAAGTTCAAGTATCTGTCACCTTCCCACATGAAGCTCTTACTGAATGTCGCATTTCTCGGTAAATGTTTTAGTTCCTGTTTGTCGTCCTTTTTTTGCCTGTTTTCATTCCTCATTCATTTTGGTTTATTAATATATGTTGCCGATAATAACAGAAGTTTCCGCTTCACTCGTTCCGATGCACTGTATCCTCGCTTTAAAATCCTCACAGACGGGATGCGAAAAGTCTTTTTCGCTTGGCCAGTTTTTTCTCAGGATTTTCTTTGATTTGCTTGAAGCTTTAAAAACCAAAGTTTCTCGGTTCTTGCTCAAAAGAACAAACGTAGACTTCTACAAAAACTGGCACACGTATACGCGCTCCGTTTCTAATTTGCTTCGTGCTCTGAATAGAAATCTAATTCTTGTTGCCTAATATACGCGAACAAATCTTTACGATATAAGAACGGCACTTCACAAGTAATAAAATAGCATTTATCGGACAGGTTGGTCCCAATGTCGCCGAATGCGTCATCTGTTTCCTCTGACTACCTTAACTCTGCTCTCTCATTTGCTGACACCCTGACAACACAACCAGACTTAACGGAGTTTGTTTATGTTATTAAATATTCGCCCAAAAACTAATCATTTCTTGATTACCTTATCTTTGATATTTGCTCTTCAAAGTGGGACCACCTTATTCGCACATCATATTGTTACAGAGCACCTTTTGAAATATTTTAATAGTTTTTAGTTGTGTTATTACGCCCAAGAACAATGCTTTCATTCTTGTAGTTGTTATGTTCTCCGTCTTTGTCCTGCGTTAAACCAATTTCACGGCGGTTTTTCTTAGATGTTATCGTATTTGTTTGACTTCTATTCTCTTGTCAGTGGTTATTGCCGAGAGATTTGTTGGATACCCACCGTTAACTGTACTAGCAGGAAAAAAAAACTACACAAAGTATTCAGCCCACTCGAGAACACATTGCATGCGCGCAGCTGGAAAACGCACAAACATGGGAATCGTTAGAGTAAGTAATATACCATCCATATAAGTTTGTTTGGGCTAAAAAAAGAGGAATGGACAGGGCAGTTGGAAAATATGACAAATTTTGGAGTCGATGTTAATTGGGCATTGATGTATGGCGCTGCATGTTTGTTAGGATGGGTAGGAGGAGTCACTTGATTTTACATCTAGACACGTCATTCAAGGTGCACCTGTTATTATCAGTCTACTCTCCACTTCAACCAAGTTCTTTTTATAACTTACTCACTGTCAGTCTGGGAATCTAATATTCATTAAAAATCTTGATGCAATGAAGACAGCATAAATAGCACCTTTGGACACAGGTTAAAATAACCTTCGAGTTCTTTCGACCCTGAAACAACCTCTGGGCTGATCTAAGTCAGGGCATGACTAACTCACTGATCAAACCCTGAAACAACCTCTGGGCTGATCTAAGTCAGAACACGGCTAACTCACAGATCGAATTGGAATTTATAGTGTTCGGTTTAGCGGAGAGGAAAAATGGAGAAGCCGTAGAAAAACGCTCGAATCAAATGAGATGCAAAGTCTCGAGAATAAATCAGCTGTACTTCAAAACCACCTTCTATATTTTACTTCAAAACATTTATTTTTCTGCTGCTTGTCCAGTGTTATGAGATAGGCTGTCTCGGCAAATGTTGGCATTTTTTAGTTCCAATTTTTTGATGAATCCTTATAGCATGGTAAATACATTTTACATATATACAAACACTTTTTGATGTGCCCGAAAGAACCGCCTGAAATGAGATGCGCGCGATGGTCGCTACGAAACGCGCATAGCAAAAACAAACTTGAATTACTTAAACCATATTCTAAAAGGGTTTTCTTGAGGTAACTCGATACTTTGGTTTGCTTTAAGATTTGTTTAGAAGAGTATTGAAGACAGAAGAGTGGAAATGGATGAGGGAAGGGGAGGGGAGGGTAAAAGAGTGAGGATCATGAAGGCTCTTGTAAAAGATGACGACAGGACAGGATGTAGTCTCCCTCGCATCCGTTTTTAGTGTCGGTCGTCACGCAAGGGGAGGGAGCATTGCGTGATGACCGACACTAAAAACGGATGCGAGGGAGACTAGACGGGATGCAGGAAGGGTAAAAGGATTACAAAATATTTTTCAAACGTAGTGCCGTGAAATATTTGTTGTGTATCCGTTAGAATGTTACACCCAATTAAATCTCAGTACAATTTAACTTTAATGAGTTCTTTAGTATCTTACACACAGTATTGTCTTCAATGCACAATATAGAGTGGTATTTGAAAACCACTATCTGCAACAATGTGTGTCCTCAGACCAATCACCACTATCCCCTCCCCCTGTCAGGAAAATGGACAAGGAGAGGGGTTAGCTATAAATAGAAGGCTAAGGTGTAGAAATGGAGCTAGTTTTGATAGTGTTATTATTAGAATACAACCGAGTTGATCATTGCAGCCAAACACTGTACAATATTAGATGTCATCACAACTTCTACGTTTTCTTCAAGATGGCGTTTGGGGTCCTGAAATACAAGAATTAATAAGATACATCAATAATGATTGCCATTTTCATGATAATTCTGCATACATTACGTGTGATGCCCAAAAAAAAAAGGGAAAGAATCATCTATGGCTGCTTCCATGTTGGTTGAATTAAATAAATTATTTTGACTTTTGTTTGGTCATGGCAGCCATTTCAATTATGTCTAGTTCACCTGTTTTCCAACGTTTTTTATGGCCAGTTGTTCTGGTGTCATACTCTCTTCTTCTTCTAAAGCCTGCATTTGAATGACGACAAAACAATATCAATACTTGCTTAGACTGACCACAGTAAATCCGTGAAACTTTAGTAATACTAAATAGCACAATTTCATGCAAATTCCATTGTTTTCTATTGTTTAATTAGCACTATTTTATACTATTTAGTAATTAGTGTTTCACGGATTAATCGTTTGCACTCTACCACAATGATATAACAATAGGACCAGCCTAATGTTGGTGGAGCATTGCCCAATATTTTAAACCTTGTGAGCAAATATCAAAAGAAAAAACACTTTGGATGACACTAATGAATTAACCATACCTTGTTATAGTTTTTGACCAGATCCAGCATTTCCTAAACAATACAAAAAAAAAATTAGTACCTCATTTGTTGAACTTTTTAAATCCTTTTTAACTTTTTCAAAATACACGAGACAATACATAATAATTATGGATACAACTCAAACAAAGAATCTTATTCTCAAGGGAATGACACATGGTCTCAAATGGAAAAAAATGTTATGGCCAAGGTAAAGAGGTTTATTCTTAAACACACTACCTTAATTCTACTCTCGTTCAAAGAACAGTGGTCGCTATAATCCTGCAAGGTTAGACCATCCATCCATGTCTTCTTGTGTAAGTTCAATAACATCTAAAGTAGATTAAACTATCATGATTAATTTCATTTCGTACCTATTTTGAATTTCATGATTGAGTAACCATGACAACCAGGGTAGCTATCATTCCAGACATCTGTTCTTTTCTTTTTTGTTTTTAGTTAAATGTCCGACAGTCTGGTTACCCTGGGTTACTGCAAACAGTTTGATGGAGTAGGTGAATCATGTGTGTCACAGGATAGAAAATGAAAAAATGTCAAAGTAGTTAAAGGACAACCTGGTTGGTTTACTTAGTTGGGAACCGGTGTTGTGAGGTCGTGTTTGAAGCCTCCACAGCTAGTTCAACACTCAGGTTCCTAAAATATCTGAGCAGAAGGTGCTGCCTTTGCTCTAAGAAAACATCTGCAAATGGTTAGACCTTCGCCATAGTGACTTACTTAGAAATGTTGAACATAGAGGGCCACGAGTTTGACAGTTCTAAGTTGTCAACTGTCATGTGTCACCCTCTCTAAATAAAGTTGATTACTATTTTTTATTACATACAGAACACAAATTTCCATGATTAAATATTTCCTCAAGCCTTTTCTTGGTAATTTTTCAATCGAGACACTGAAGGACTTGCTTATCTTCATATCTATACACATCCTCTGGTGATTTTTATACTCCCTCACGCACTAACAACAACACAATTGCAGTTTAGGGACTAGTTTCGTCCGTTTATTAGGACTTTTCCTCAAGTCATCTTGACTTACATGCTTCTCAAGTTAGTAAGTCATTTTAAAAGCTTCAGAAGGGGTTTATGGCAAGAAGGTTATCTTACATTTCTATATCAGCTCACTATCTGGACCCCCAGTTTGAAATACCCTAGTTCTCTCAAACTTTGCACTGATTAAAAAAAAGTTGAAAACATCTTTACCTTCTGTTCTAGTTCATTCTTGCGATAGTTTATAGATATTGAATAGTAATGACGATTTAAGCCATGGATCATAGCCTACAACATAGAAAGTAAAGCATTCATAAAACCATTTTCTACCAAATAAATGATTTCTGTAAATTTCTTGGCAGTATTAGAGTTATTCAGTTCCCCTATAGAATAATTAATAGTCTAATAGACAGTAGTATGCATTAAACCATCAGTTTAGACTTTGTTAGGTTTAAAGTTTCCTCCCTATGCAATATCTAACAAGTTAAATTTGAATTTGATCTGTGAGTTATCTGTGGCCTGGCTATGACCTACCCAGAGGTTGTTGCAAGGTTCAATAAAAATTGAAGCTGAAATAATGTGCAGAGGGAAGGGTGGGTTCTTGTAAATTCTATGGTACTCGGCCCTTTAGAATTTCCTTAAGTCTTCATTTAGAATGAGAGCTTTGAGGTATCTTTAATTACCTGTATAGAGGGTTTCTGTAGATGTCCAAGGTTAGATGTAGTTTGTCTAGGCTCTTGACCAAGTACCATCATGTTGGGATTGATCAGTCGGAAAGCATCAATAACAACCTGAAATAAGCATCCTATTAATAATACCTAATAACCCAAACCAGTGGCTGGCTGATTGATCAAGGGGCTTACCTTTCCTTTCACACTCTGGATAGGATCCACTACAACAGCAACTGCTCTTTCTGATAAGGCTTCAAAACTCTGTAAAAGAAAAGAAGTTAACTCATTGCTTTAGATTATTCAGAGTATTAAGATGTTTTTTTAAAGACATGCAAAGCTTTATCTTGACACAGGATTTACCATACAGGTGTCAGTTCTGACAGCAACAGACTCCCTACTACTCCCGGACTACTTACTTGTTGAGTATTGATGTCGACACCTGACAGCCAGCAACCAAACCCAGGATGTGAATGGTACCACCCTACAACCATCTCTGGTCTGGGATGCATAAAATAAGATAATTACAGTGAGCTGTTTTCATGTTTATTTATGATAAACAAGTTGTCTTATAGCACTGTTACAATCTTGGATAAAACTTGTTGGGACTTCTTTATTTTTCAGAGAACCAGATTGTAAAATTTTGCAAAATGGCCCAACAATTCCCTGTCTCCAAAATACAATGTTGTCTTGAAAGGTTTGGTGGCTAATAGGTCACAACTTTGTCGTGGGAGGGAAGGTTATTTTATTCAGCCTAAGAGTGTAGTGAGTATCATTTCAACTGAACAAAATGTAAGAAAGCCCCAACACTTTTTCCCCAGGATTGTGATTAGGGTAAAGCATTCTTAATGCCAACCTTCCAGTCTGTTTTAACATATCCAACATCTTAGCTTGAAATACTGGATCAACAGCTTCTACACTTACTCCCTAAAACAATATCAACAATATAGATGTACATGGATAATGTCGTAAATAAATCATTTGATATTTCACTGCAATTTCCCACATAAGCCCTGCATTCCCATTCCTCTCATAAATAATCAACCCTCCCTTGTTACTACAGTGTATATAAAAGTTCAACAATGACATGCTAAATTTCAACTATGCTTTTACTTACTGTTCCACTCTGTGGCATAGCAAAGACATCAATGACTCTGACAGTGTAATCATCAACAAACTCCCCTAACATGAGACCCATAACTTCCATAGGGACACCAGCACGGCCTAATGAATGACAGCGAAAAATATTTATGTATATGGTTTAATACAGTGAGCCACGAGAAAGAAGTGTGCTGTTTGCTTGTTTTGACAATGCCTGATTGGAAGAAACAGTTGTATACTGCCAAATATGCAACAGCTTTCCTGCTTTATGATTGCCATGAGAAAGAAGTATAATGTTTGACTATTTATACTACACCATTGAAAAAAACTAGGCTGCAATGCCTGATGGGAAAGAGTGGTATACTGCCAAATATGCAACAGCTTTCATGCATTGTGATGGGTGTATTTTTAAAGGTATGAGATAAAATATGTCTTTATCAGTTTATGTGTATTGCTCTATCAAGATGTTTGACTTACCATGTTTAAGCATCTGTGTGACGCAGATATGAAATGGATAAAAATAACAACATATTAACAATTGTACTTTACACACAAACATATGTTATAGTATGATAAAGTATGGCAGAGCAAATCAATGAGAAAAACTCAGTCATTTCATGGATAAATGAATGAAATATCCAGGGGGTCAGCTAATATCCCCTTCTCTCTTTGACAACCTTGTGTTAGTGAATGTACAAGACAAAGCAATATTAATATTAATAATATTTTACCCATTTTCATGATTATTAAACCAACTTTGCTCAAGATGTCTGGGATTGTGGTTTCCGTACTTTGTCCGACTGTCGAKATTTTGACTGAGAGAATCACAAAACGCTGAGGTGTCAGATGAGGGTTTTCTGGGTGGCTTAATACTATGAGTATGGTATGATAATTAACCACTACCTACCTTCAGAAGAGCTAGAGAAGATATGTAAACTTGTTCTGCTGTGTCAACGACTGGAGCATCGCTAGGGGTCCCCTGGAAACAGAACACCATTGATGTTATAGCACATTACTACACTTACAGGTAAGTTAAATACTAGGTATTAAGTTTATACTTGACGGCCAAATACGTTAAAAAAAATTTTTTAAATTCACTTCTAAGCTTCCATGCACGATCCTTCTAATCTCTCAATACTTTCATTATGTTAGAACTTCATTTAAAAAACATCATCATATGTTTTTTTGGAGTTTTTTTCTCTCTCAACAAATCATTTTACTTTCTGGTTATAAGGACTTTCAGTGTCAAATATAACACAAAAACCAAACAAAATATAAAGTTTAAGACTAACCTGACCAACACCAGGTAATCCTCCAGATCCTAGCCGTAAAATTCTGTCCATATTGTATTATTTTTGATTGTTTTTATCGTCTTGAAAGAAAACTTTTGTCAAATGACACAGCATAAAATTCAATATGGCCGGCAACTTAGCGCATGCTCGCGTGAAGTTTGCCTAGCATAACGCGGGCTCAGGGATAATCACACAGGGATCCCAAAGCTTGTCCAAAGCCTCTTAAAGCGTGCACTGGGCTGCACCTAATCTTTGTTAGGGACCGATCGTTTATTGCGTCTCAGGGAGGGGGGAGGTGGTCTCTTCGCGAAAAAATGAAATGAAAGCTGTGCCCCCCTCTAAAATCATTAAATGGAAAATGTACCCATCCCCATTCAACACTACTAAAGACGAACTCCCCCCCCCCAAATTCAGTCACAAAAATGTACCCCCCAAATTTTTACTGGTTTTAAAAACGTACCCTCCCTCTCCATATTTCCTCCAACCCCCCTGGGACGTAATAAACAATCGGTCCCTTATGCACCGCTATTTGGGAGGAGGGGGTACTCTGGTACATTTTAGGTGTATATTTTTTAGAACTTCCAAATGCTACTGACTTTAGTAGACAGAGAAAACAATGTTGCATTACTGACGTATTATAGTGCCATATTTTGCTTGGTTTTCCTGTTTGCTTGCCACATTTTGCCTTGAAATATGTAAATTCATTTTGATTTGATTTTCATTTTTCACRACAATATAGTTCCTGTGCCCTTACTGGTCCACATAAATAATACTCAAGGGAATGACATGATTTAGATGGAAAAATCACTTGCTGCCCTGGGAATCAAGGGGGGGGGGGAATTAATGAATTTTAATTTTATATACAATAATTTTAATCAAGAAGTACAGAAATTACATAATTTTGGTAAAGGGTTTACATTATCATCATTAACTATTTGCAAAGATTGCCTTTAATCTTTCTAGAATTGGTACAAACAACATCATCATCAAGGCACCCAGATCAAGTAGACTGATGACTAACAGTGCTTAAGCATCACCAAAGCAATCATAAAATAAATGTAAATATTGAAAAAAACTTTCTCTTTTTTAATCTAAAGAGAGAAGAGAAGCTGATATTACTTAAAACTTTTGGGAGCGTTTATCTGAAAGCCATTTAAAGGTTTGAAAACAACGAAAATGAATATCAGAAGATATGAACTCTATTATTTTCCTTCCTTATTCTGGGGCTAAAGATAACAGCTGCTCAATGACCTCACATAAGGGATGGCCACATTGGACTGATCAACAGTTACTTATGACCAGTCAAGAGGTCCGACCCAAGGGGTGTTTGGCTGGACAAATACATTTTTAGCTCTGACTTTACTTTTGGATGCTATCTGTTAGGTTCGCTTAAGGTTAATACTGCATCGCCAATTCAAGGGTGAAAGTTTTTTATCCATTTCAGACCAAAAGTCATTCCAACACTTACTCAAACGAAGATCAAAAATCTTAAATTGGAGGGAATGAAGAATGACACATAGTCTGAAATGGAAAAACTTTATGCCCAAATATTTAACTGTTTATGTTTATATAAAGAGTTTTWAAAACATGCTGATTTCTAAAGAAAATATGTACAGTTATAGAAGAAAAGCTGATCAACTATAAACTAAAACTAAATCATTGAAGTGCTGTATATGTAGAAATAATTTATAAGCAGCCAGTGTTTAGAGTGATACCTGAAAAATATAATATAATCAAATCAAGAATTAGATGTGTATATTAAGGCAGGCAGGCAGATCCGGGATTTTAACTAGGTGGGGAAGTGTTGACATACGACCTGACATACTGGTAAAAAAAAATCAAAAAGGGTAGGGTTTATACTTGTCCTTTAGAGGGTTTGATAATAAAATCAAGATGATCTAGGGGTAGGTAGTTATCATTTTATGGGGTTTGATCATGGTTTAAGGATTTTGACAACCCCCCACCCCTCACGAATATTATTTTTTATATGCTGAACCAAGCTGAGTACCAAAACATAATTCGAAATAAAGGATTCCCAAAGTAGAAAAATTTCTATTATTCTGACTGTTCCCAACCCCACAAGTTGGTATTGATGYTAGAGAATGATACCTATATGATTATTCATACTATCAAATAACGTATAGAATTTTTCATACTTTAAATGTAATAACATGTACTTACAGATAATGTGGTTAGTTAGTTTAAATGTCCTTGAGTTCATCAGGTAGAGGAGACTTGGGATGTTTACTTTCAAAATGTTGTTTGTATGTCTTTGGATCTGGCATTTGAGACTGGAAAAAGACAGACACGAAAATAAACAAAGATGAGATTTTGAAATTGCAGTTCTCTTAACTTCCAGCATACAATGGCAATAATGCACTGTGTTTTGCAATGCAGGGTGCTATTGCTTGTTTGCCATCTTTGTCTTCTTTGTCATCCTGCAACTTAAAATCCGTGATATAACAGATGAAATAATTGAGATGGAACAAAATTATTACTTTACAAACTGGACAGGAGAATTTGAGAGCCTTCTGAGCTGATTTCTTCTGATCTGAACCTTGAGCTTTCTTAAGCTTATCTTTCTTTTCCTGAGCTTTTTGCTGTGATTGAATTTTTTGTTGACCTCGTGCCATTATCACTGAATGTCCCCAAAGTATTCTATAAGTCAAAAAGAGCACTTTTATCTAGTATTTAAATAGAACATTACAGTCTTGGGTACAATTCCCCATTTAAGGCTATGCAACTTATCMTTTTTTTGGGAAACGATTTCCTTGTTTTGAAGGTTTTTTTCTCTGGATTCTCCAGTTTACTTCCCTAACCAAAACCTAACATGCTAAATTCTAATTTGATCTGTGAGTTAACCATGCCCTGACTTATCTTGGCTTTGAAGTCGTTTCAGGGTGATAATAAAATTCAAAGATTCGTTGAGTCTTAATGAGTCTTTGAAAGCATTACTGGTAAACAAAGGGATAATACTCAAGATACATGATCTGAAAGGGGAAAAGATTATGGCCAAGTTGGAAATGTCTACTGAGAAAAAGAATATAAAACTCAAAATATAAGCTTAGTACTTATAACGATAATGGTATAAAATCTATAAAACACTTCAGAAATCAGTCATAAATATTAACATGGATTGCTGGCCACTGTATTTGAACAATGTTTTTGGTGAATAATAAAGTCAATACAGAAAAATCCCAACTACTGCACAGCTGAAAAAACATCAGGATTCACGAACAACATCGTATACTAATCGTATTGAGAGGGCATTAAAGAATAAGGTATGATTCAACAAAACAAATAAGTTTGGATTAGACTAAACGATAAGAAAATCCAACCCAGCGTTTGAAAACCATAAAAATTCAAATAAAGTAGACAAATTTCTAGTTAAATCGAGTATAATTGAAAATGAAAAGAGACTCTGCTAGCAGGGAAACGTTTCGATGGATTACGAGAATGAATGAGCAATAACATTTGAATGATAAAATCGTACCAAAAGATACAATTAGACGCTGATAATTTGGCTATTTATGTTTAGATATGGAATGTAGGATATTTAATCTAGTGTAAAACGTGTTGATTTAGTACGTACCTAAGAATAAAAGGTGATTTTTTGGACGACACAAAATAGAACACAAACCAACACTCTTTCAGTCTTCGTGTTCTTCAATCTCTAATATCCAGAATGCAGTTCGAGCAGTGTTACCACAGGAAGACCACTGAAATTCGCTGCTAAAATTAAAGGATTTTAGCTCATCCAAAAATATTCTCGTTTCTCTATTTGTCTCCTTTTGTATGAAAGTTTGGTCCGTTTGGACGAGTTTTAGATGACTTTTCTCCTTATAATACAAATTATATTTTCGGGGACTGGGCTACCTGTGGTCATACTCTGGCCATGAAGGAACGCCTGATGTAGAACGTGTTTCAGTGAGAGGGATGTGCTAGTGTACTGCAGTTTCAGATGGTTGGGATTAGAAATATCTTGATTAAGTCTTTATGTAATGTACAGGCGTTGAAATATCATTCAAGGCAACGAATATTTAAAGGTAAAGCACCTCAGAAATGGAATATTCTCATGGAAATACACTTCTCCTTTAGAACCATACTTCTTCCTTCATCCTCTTCCATTGGATCTCCTCCTCCTTCTCCTCCTTCTAATCATCATAATCATCATAATCGTTTTCTTTTTGCAGTCAGATATGCATATAATTCTACTTTGGCTTATGTTTGGGGTGCTGGTGATGGAGGGCAGTTAGCACGCAGTACCTCACCAGTCAACACTTCTCCACTTAAATATACATGTAAAGAAGAGGTATATTGTACAATCATTCTACATTTATACTGATCGATAAGAATTTAAACTTTTATTAAACTAAATTATCTCTCCCCCCCCCCCCCCCCCCCATCCTACTACTTCTTTCTCTTTTTCACAAAATATTGCAAGGATTTTTCATACTCAAATGGACCTTTTCTGAGAGAGTGAAGATGGTGCATTTCGTGTCCGGTCTTTTTGATCCATAGTCATTTCAATCCAAGCCGTTTTGATCCACATTTTAAAAAGATGATATTAATATTATTATTAATATAATAATAATAATAATAATGATTGACTGACTGACTGACGGACTGAC